TATTTAATAAGAATTTTTAAATTATAAACATTAACGAATATATCTTACCCGTGTACTGCACGGGACTCATATTAGTCTATATAAACATTTAATGCACAATTTCTTTTGAAACATTTGAAATATATGAATTAATTACTTGCTTATACATGTTTCCAAATCAAATCAAATATAATAAAAGAATATACTTTCCATGAATAATTTTATTAACATTTGTAATAATTTCATTGATATACATTATAATAAATTGTATTGATTCTTCACTATTCATGTTGATAATATTGTGGTCAACATAAACATAAAAACATATTCTGAGTTCTATCCATATTATTATATTTTTTCACACATATTTACTTTTCATACAAAAAATTTATAGAAAATTGTAACATGTTAGGTAATTTTTTTTTCTTTCAATTAATCATGTTAGCTAATTGGCTTACTTGCTTGCTAGAGCACAGGTAGTTTACTAATTGAATATAGGCATAGGCTGAAGAAAGGGAAAGGGATATTCAATAGCTAGTCTTTGATTCCCCTGTATTGGTAGATTTCAAGAAATTGATTTAACCAATCTTTGAATCCACTTCTAATAAACGTGAGCTAGGATTGAAACTTACCTTGCCTTGGCCTAGGTCCTTTTGATAGACTTTCTGCAGCTCAGTACTAGAGATCGTTGAGGCTAAAAGCTCCTTGTGACAACTTTACTTACAACAATACTTCTTAAAAGAGAGAGTTGTCTCGTCTTTGGTGACATAATGAGTATTGCATTTTTCCTTTATTACGAGATCCGGAAGTAGAAAGAAGTTGTATCGGAAAGGTGGGTTAGTCGTCTAGTGACATCCTAAATCCAATTACTTCACTCCTGGGTCCTCTTCAGGGCGGGCCTATCCTTCTCGATGCCCTATGAGCCTACCAATAGATGAGGCATTCCGCCTGCCTACTAGTCAAGGAATCAAAAGCAATCGATAAGCCCTCATTGAACTCGGAAGAAAATATCTCACATACCTCCGCGAAGAAAGATGGCCTTCCTTTAGCAGGATTGGTCGAAGGCGTCTACGTCTTCTTTTCCCTAGCTTCATGCCCTAGGGGGATCGCCCCTTGCGCTCGAGTAGCGGTCATAATGGCTGCTGTGGCTTTCGGAGTTGAGCATGCCAGCGTATTCCGAGGCCTTTTCAATACAGGAAGTCCTTCCCTTGACTTCGGGAACCATAGTAAGGAGCTGCCCTTCCTCTTCCTCTTGAGCATCAGGGCTCGGTCTGGCGTTCCCACGCAGGCTTATGAGTCTGGCCGCGATTAGCTGGTTACGCGAGGTAAGACTAAACTACGGCTGCTTCGATTTTAAACTTTATTTCATTATATATTCTTTAAACTAATTTAATTTATCATTTAAGAGATAATGACTAGATACATTAAATAATTTTATTAGTGAGCAGATAATAAAATTAAAATGTATTAAATATTCTTTATAGTACTAACATGTGATTTATTTGTATATTATGTCAACTATGATTATTTTTTCATTATTTATTTTGATTTCTTTCCATAAAGAAATTCTTATAAACTATATTTCCACTGCATACTATGCTAAATAAACTATAAATTTTTATGATATAAATTAGAAAAATCTCTTGATTATAGAAGGAATTTAGTTTTTAAAAATTGCTAAATCAAAGGTTTTTAATTGTTATAAAAAATTAACTTCTAAAAAGAGCTAAGATTGTGTATTAACTTAAGATTTGTACATAATTTAAATTAACTACATTAATAAATAATATTAGCGCACATTAAATATTCTTTCATTACTTAAGAAGTTCCGAATTTAGAATAATATAAGAATAGACTTAAGCTCATTACTTAAGAAGTTCCGAATTTAGAATAATATAAGCATAGACTTAAGAAATTTGTAAGAAGGTCATTTAATTGGCAATAATTTCAAATACATTATTTGAACTACAAAATAGTGGAAAATAATCAACGTGGAAGTGGATTGATAATGGATAGGCAAGATAAAGTTTAGGTGTTTTATTCCTCACCATAGTATTGTGGGCTTCCATTTAATCCAAAGGCTGCCTTTTATTTTCAACATCTAAAGGCCTAAAACAAAACAACAGAATGGTACCACGACGGCACTGTAGCCGGCCCCTAAGTTTGGAAAATTACATCAAGTACTCTTTTATTAAATTAAAATGATATATTTCCCTCTTATATTTTAAAAAATGCGTAAAACAACTTATATTTAAGAAACCGATATATACTTTCCATTTCTTTCATTTTGTCATTAACAACGTTAGTTTTTTTATTTTTATCAAATCCCCATTATACTCTCAGAATCTACAGTAATATAAAAAAGTTATTGGAAAAATATTTGTATAGTAAAAAAAGGTTTGACTTATTATTAGCGATAATTTGGAAAAAAAAAACATATTTGAATCTTTAAGAATCAAATTGAATCATTTTCTTAGACAATTTAACCGGATTTTCTTTCCAACTATTTAGGAAACAAATACAAATTGGTCGAATTTTCTTAGATATGAAACCCATATGAATCCTATTTTTTATAGATCCAATTTGGAGATTTCTATGCCAAAAATGTGTCAAGTATTTATTAAATCAAATCTAAATACAAATTAATTTAAAATCCGTGCAACTTCTTCATGTCATTTTTTTTTACCAGAACCTGAATTCCATTTTTATTTTTTTTTTGTAACAAAAATTTGAGATTGGGAAGATTTCCTTTTCAATTTTTTAGGAAACAAAACTAATTTAAGTTCATTTAAAAAATATGAATATCATAGGAATTTCATTTTTTATTTTTTATTTTTGGTTTGAGATTGACCGGCTTTCGCCGGATTTTTCTTTACAACTATTTAGTAAACAAATACAAAGTGACCAGATTTTCTTAAATATGAAACTCATATGAATCTCATTTTTCTTGGCTACCAATTTGGAGATTCTTATGCAAAAAATGTGTCAATTATTTATGAAATCAAATCCAAAGAGAGGCTAGACGGAAGGCGAGAAGATCGATGGAAAAATCGACTTGTACGAGATGGCCAGAGGTACAATAAATACACCCCATTGAGGTATCAAATCTAGCAGTAGTACTGACTACTTTTTTAGCATATCGATCAATTTTCGCTATTTTCTCGGACGTTAATTACGATATCGGGGAGTGAAAAAGGCTGGTTCTCTAGGGAGTCCATGGAGAGAAGGATGAACAGAGGTAGCATCACATGGCCGAGATCGAGGAGAAGAAGGTCGAATATAAAAAATCTTTGTTTCTACTTGGGAACGTTTGAGAAAATATCGGATAAAAAGTTGGCCTTATTACGGTATTGGAGATAGAATCCCTAATCCTATCCAGTACCAATATGTGCCAGCAAAAAATCCTCGGGACTTGAGAACCTGAACTCCCACTGATACATTTGCCTTTGAGTCAACCTTTGAAAAGCAAACTAAATTATCAGCTTTTATATCTTAGAGCACCCACAGTGTAATGGGTCTCTTAATAAAATATCATATGCCATGTAAGAAATAGACTTAGTCTATAAAAAAATGTCACTCAATGCAATTAAAAGTGGACATGATCTAATGTATGTGGCAATAAAAAAAAGAGACTAAATCCACACTTGGGTCTATTTTGGACCCAAGTACAAACCTAAACACTCATCATTTATTCTTAATTTAATTTTTCTTTTAATAAAAGAAACATATTAGAGCATTTTTATTGGTTGGCATGTATGCTAGACCTAGTATTTTATTTTTTGCATTGAATAACTTTTGAATTTTTTTTACTTGAGTTTGTCTATGTCATTTAAGACTTAAGTCCATTTATATACCACATATGTAAAAGGAGTGTCGTCCTGCCGAGGAAAAAAAAAACAAAAAGAACCTTATCTTGTGAATCATTTAAGAGCATGAGGCCAATACGCAATTACTAAGACAGGTGCTTCTTTCTGCTGGGCTACATATAAATTTTGGTTGCAAAACCCTTCAGAAACGAAGGTGAGTAATGTTTAAGGGAAATTTTCACTCTTCCCGTAAGAATTGCAAGATATTGCAATTTTACTATTGGGACAAATTTAATTGTATTTATACCTAAAATCTAGGATTTTATTAGATATATACCTCATTTAAATAACCAACAAATAAAACGTTCCATCCTTAATTATCGCTGACTCATAAGAGAGAGAAAATAAATAATTGCCTCATTAATTCCTTAATTCGAATTTCTTAATTCACGCAGATGTCGGGGGTATATTTTGCGTTTATGTTAGTATATATTCAGTATATGTGCGCAGTTGGATTTTCTTAATCCACGCAGCTGTCAAGTGGTATATATAGCGTTTATGTTAGTATATATTCAGTATATGCTGCAATGAAAAACATGTCTTTCATCACAAAATTATGTCTCCTATTCTTTTTAACTTTTATACATAAAAATGTATATATAGTTTATAAACATATTATAACATGTTACTTATATATATTATTATTCTCAAAAAATCTTCTAATATATTGAACATATGCTGAACATATACTCCAACTTTTGTTATGTATCGTTTTGTTTGGGTATATTAGAGGTATATGTTTTTAATATTTTTGTGGATGAAGTCGCCTATGATGATTTTCATTCATTATATGATGAATGGACTATGTATATAAATTATACATATATACAACAACAACAAAAATCACCTTATTCTTTGTTTTAAATTAGATTTTGAATATTTTGAAAACATAAAAATGTCTATAAATTAAAACTATAAATTGAAAACGTAAATCATCCCGACGTAGAATGTCTATACACTGAAAATATAATGTCTATATACTCAATATATACTGATTGGGGTTTTTTTTTAAACCTCAAAATCCCATACTATTCAACATCTATCTAAAAGCATAAAGTGTCCAACATCCCACATCCAACATCCAACATCCATTCAACGGTTCCATTATGGCATTTGCTCAAGAGCTTGATGCGGAAAACGAGGCAGAAGACCCGTCTACGATGCTGGTCGTGCTTCTAACATACACAAACTAGGAAAGGGGAAGACGACCAATGCCCACTGGTGATCACCATCGACAATCCGCATGCTGAAAATGTGCTCCTCATCAGCTCCAATCTCTCCTTGCTGGTCGTCGCCGGAAGCCCCGATTTCACATTCACCTCTCGAACAGCCCCAATCTGCAAATCGCGAAGGATCTACATTCAGAACAAATCAAGATTAACAAGGAAAGGACTGATAAAATGTACCAAAATGCGATAAAACACGCACACTCTCTTTCTCTCTTTCAATATTTCAATGGGGACGACGGACGAGTAATACAATCGAATCGAACTAATCTCAATCAAATCCGAAAAAACCTAGCTAAAATCGTGTACCTTACAGGTTGAATCCCATTCCAGCCGACCGGATCTGACAAGATCTGAATCACACGCGCCCAGGAACGAGAGGAATTCGGAACCGATCGGCTCCTGCTCATCCAGAAACAGGTCCTCCGGCATGCGGAAGGCGCCGTGGGGGCACACCACAGCGAGGCCGGCCAGCAGGGCGGAGATGAGCAGCGACCCCACGCTGGTGATGAACACCACCAGAATTCCCAGCATCTCCCGATCCGAGAAGGCGCGGCCTGCCACCACCACCGGCTGGTCGGATGGGCGGAAGGCGTATAGGAAGAGCCAGGCGCCAAGGAGGGCAAGGAGGAGGAGGAGGGAGAAGGAGAGTGAGAGGGCGAGGAGAGAGAGGTAGTTGACGCGGAAGTAGGAGAAGTTGCGGCCGATGCAGGAGGCGGCCTCGTTAATATGCAGAGAAAAAAGGGAATAACGATTTAATGTCAATATGAGATAAAATTGAAATTATTTTAACTTGATTAGGCAATTTTATAAATAAGAATATAAGAAAAATATAAGTGTAATAAAAATCATAATTGATGGTAAGGGGTGTAAATTCCTCAATGTTTAAAGTAGCCCTGTTAGAAACATATTCCATGAAAAAGATAGCGATAACATTTTTACCTCCGAAATATTAATTAAAACGTTTCTCAAAGTTGGCAAAGCTCTATTTCCTAGATGAACTTCTGTCTCAACATTTAGGTGCTCAAACCTGACTTCTATCGTTGGTAAACTAATTCCAACTCTGCACCAAAAAAGTAAATAGATAATGAAACAAAATCTAAATACAGACAAATGAAGCAAAAAAAATAAATTCTAATTACCTATCAATCCTATTCTTGAGCTTCAACAGAAACTTCTCATTGTCTTCTTCTACTACCTTCACAAGCCTCTCAAGCAACTCTTTCCTGTCTCGAGCCCCAAGATCTTCCACATCAACCTCATCCACAACGCCTTTTGACCCAACCAGAAGGCCTTTTCTCAAACGATCGAAAGTGGGAAGCTTCTCAAGGGCGGCCCATTTCAGAGCTTCCTCATCATCTTCATCTTCATGGGCTCGTGATGAGCCTGAGAACATCTCGTAAGAGTCATTCCTGAAAGCTGATGAAGCAGTTCTCCGGAAGCTATTACTGGCTCTATGAACGATTTCATGCATGTCCATTTTTTCAGCCAGGGGCATGGAAATAAAATTAGAGGTCTTAGATCATGTGGCCAAAATGCAAAAAAAACAGTCTAAATTTATATTCTTGATCATGTATATGCATGGCACCACCTGACAAGGCATGCTGATGCTAATATATAGGCATAAATTACCTTTCTGTCCTTGACAAGACGCCAAAACAGTAATAATGCCAAAAGATCCGTGCCCTTTTATTTGGTATCCAATCCGATCTGCGGACCTCCCTAACATTAGGCACAGAAACTAAGGCTAGCTTAAAGTGTGTTGCTATTCTAGTCTCCACCAAACTAAAGTATCAATCAGTGTTACAAGAGACTGATTAAATATTTTGCTCTAATTACATGTTTACCAACGGTTGTATTTGTCATTAAACAAATGCCACAAAGATGCAGCGAGTTGAATTACCTATAGGTGGCAGAAACTGTATAAAACATCATAATATTAAAACAACCTGTTCGAAAGTAACTAAAATTTGTTATTGGTTTGGTAAGTAGGAGAGGAGCCAAATAAAGGTGCAACTATCTAATACTTCAATAAGCGCAGGTGGTCCCTCGCTTGAGCTTGAATATTACAAACATAACTCCAACACATTTTCTTAGCGGATTAAACTTGGAAACTCAACAACATTAGGCCAAGAAGAAATGGATAAGTCTCAAACTTCTCCAATATTTTCTCTAAGGCAGCAATATCAGTTCATTCTAAATCGCATTTTGCAAAATATGTCGAAATTTAGATTATGATCAATGTAGCTACACATATTCTTGTACGAGTCAGCCTAAGCATTTAGCAAGTCGACCAGTCATACTACAGTTAAGCTAAGCTTAATTGTACCTCTCAACCGAAAGGAATCGACCCTCAATCAATGAATTTCATTGGGATTATAGCTACACAAGTTTTGCAAAAACACTACTTCTCGTAATATATGTGCCCCCCATCCTTTACAAGATCAACCTGACAGGGCTGGAGAAACGGAAATTGTTGTTGAAATAATAAGTGGTTCAAGAATTAGGGTACAAGAAAGACATGAAGAACGAACATGCTTGCTTATTAACTTTATAGATAATAAATGGTTCAAAAAAATTTGTTTATTGCTAATAATGCATTAATTTTGGCATTTAGATCTTTGCTTCTGTCTGCATTACAGTTTATTTTATCATGAGCAGGTTGGAACATAACTGAAAAAAAAAACGACAAAGATGCTACCTCTTTGATTCCAAGTCCAGCAACCCATCTTCTGGACAAAGTAATGGCACCAAGTCTCATTTGTCCACTGCTATGCTAATAACTGGAGAAGAACATCACTGAAAGTATTAAAGCCAAGCTAGCTGGTTTCTCATAATCATGAATTTTTAATTAATTAATGCATACTATGTCAGAAACTGGAAATAAAACTGGTTGTTGGCCAAAGTTATAAAATCTGGGCTCTCTTTCTTGCTAACATCAAATACTACACATAAGGAGGTAGTCTTATCAAGGCCACACAACTTCCATGCAGTAGTATTCTTTGTCCAATAACAGTATCAGAGCAAAAAGGACCTTTCTGCACAACACTAAAATTGTATGGCTGGAAATTAGATAAGATCATTCATAAAATAAAAAAATCACACCTTATCAAGTGATGCACAAGGACCAATAATTCCCTGAATTTTGATATCCTTTGCAACAGCTGATTTCAAATATACCACTGCACAAAGTAAATGACTAAGTTAGCCTCCATCAAATAAACAAGACCTCATGAGTGATAATTTCAACTAGTCCGCAAAGCTGTCACAGCAAAAGACATAGCAGCAGGAAAATCCAAAATAATGCGAAGCGTGGAAAAGCGGGAAAAGAAACATGATCAATACCAATTCAGTACATAAAAAGGTTTCTCTATATCCTTCCAGAAAATTGTCCTACAAAAGAGAGTGTTGATGAAACAGAGTAAAATACCACTTGATATAATTGCATTAGCACAAAGCTACAGAAAAGTTCCTTCAGCCAGCTTATCTTCGAAACTTACAAGCATGAGAGAAAATGAATACAGGAAATCACAATTTGATAAACTCTCATTGGACAAGATATTACTTTCAACATCATAGAACCCATCATTTGAACTATTATTGAGTTTGTCAAAGGCTTACAAGAGACCAAAAAATCATTTTAATTTACATCAGTTTTAAAGCTACAAGACGATTATTGAGTTTGTCAAAGGCTTTTTNTGCCTTTGTTTTTTCAATCCACTCTTACTAATTTTTCTCCCGAGGGTGTCTTCCTTTTGATTTGAACTTGGCAGGACATAGACCGAGGGTCAGCAACCGGTGTGCAGTCGAGGAGGACGAGACTCTCTTGGTGATCATTGAGAGACGCCACACCCCCATATTGTCGTATTTGAGAGAAAGGCAAGGGCTCCAAGTCCTTAAACTGCCTAGCCCTTGGATCATATGCAGATAAGCAATTACCGTAATCATCATCTCGCCACTTGTCCATGATCAACTCCCCATTCTTCAAAACACACACAAACACAGTCGGCAGGCTCATTGGGTCGTCGACTCTGTACACTTTCTTCCAGCCGCTGGCGGCTATCTGCACTCAAATGGTCCAAGAGCTGTTCCAGTTCGAGCGAGTCCCACAAGCAACGAGTCCCCCAGTACAGCAACCTGGGGAATAACAATAAACGTGGCAGCAGGATCCTCCTGTGGCGGTAAGGCCACCTCTTCAAAAACCTCTTCCGCCACGTCGAACGAGTAAAGGCTGTAAATTTTATGTCCCATCTCAAAATATTTGCAGAGGAGCCAGTGCATCTTGCCTCCCACGAAAGCGCCAGTAGCACGGCAAATTACCTCTGCGCCACGCGTTTGAGTTCAAGGAATAGACGTTGAACTCTGCAGGGACTGTAACGAATCTGCCGAATGTAAGGACCACGATTTTGTAGTCGTCTGTCGTGGGGTCGTATCCAAACTCGATGGACGATTCATATCTAAACTCCATGGACGATTCATCTGGTTTGGTCAAGGTGAGGTCCGGTAGGTAGACGTGCCTCCGGATGGTAGGGTTCCATAGCATGATGGATATGACGGATTGCACATCTGAGGCACACGTTAGGGACAGGATTCGCATATCAAGCCGTTGACGGAGCCCACTATGTGGGGAGAGGTGAAGCGTGGGTATTCGAAAGGGAAATCGAGAGGCCCCAACCAGGAAGAGTCGGCAGGGCGATGGTGATCGTTGTCAAGCAACAGGTACCACTCTACAAGCTCGCAAGGGCCCGGGAATTGAGGGTATTTTGTGGTGAGCAAGACTTTGGAGGGGTGGCGCTTTGAGGAGAGGTGCAAGGACCTGAATTCGGGGCTGCCTATGATCGACTTCCACGATTTGCATACGCTCCGAAGACGGAGCAAAGCTTTTACGGGCAGTCTCGCCAGGATTTCAACCAACACATCTTCACTCAGATAATTATGAGAGGACTCCATAACTTTTATTATTTTTTTGTGTGTTTCTTGCCAATTATATAGAGATGTTTACATAGTCCTAATCGGTATAGGAAATATAGGGTTTTTATTCCTTTTTTTTTTAAAATATATTTATCAATTAAGTAAGTTTACTACTACCTCCTTTTTTTTTATAAATGTCATTTTGGATTTATCAACAATTGTCTAAATAAATGACGTTTTGGATCTTTTGTACATATTTTTTCATTATTACCCTTATCTAGCTAATAATAACACTACGTCTTTTCATATTCACTCTTTATATTTTCTTAAAACATTCATCTCTATCATCATTAATGAGGGTTATTATTGAAAAAAAAATATTCTTAATTAGTGTGCAACTTCTCAAAACGACGTCTATTAAAAAAAGGAGGGAGTATTTTACAATTTTAAAATACTCGATAAATATGGTTGAATGTTTAGATCTACTAATATAAACCAATAAAAATTGACAAGGTTGGGTTTTGGAACAAATAAAATTGCAAAGTTAAAAAATACAATGTAAGAGCCCTCACAATGCTTTGGGTCTCTTAACAAAAAATCACATGCCACATGGGAAATAGACTTAGTCTATAAAAAAATACTTCCCAATACAATTAAAAGTGGACATGGTCTAGCTTATGTGGAAAAAGAGACCAAGTCCACACTTGGGTCTATTTTGGACCCAAGTACAAACTCAAACACTCATCATTTGTTCTTAATTTAATTTCTTTTAATGAATAAAACATTTAGAGCATTTCTATTGGTTGGCATGTATGCTAGACCTAGTCTTTTTATTTTTGCATTGCAAAGTTTTTGAGTTTTTTTACTTGAGTTTGTCCATGTCATTTAAAACTCAAGTCCAATTATATGCCACATATACAAAAAGAGACCCAAAGCATTGTGGATGCTCTAAATACTTTTAAGCAATTACATTACTATTTATACGTAGAATGACATTAATCACTTGTAAGACCTACTCAATATTACTTCATATTATATAATGGACTTAATAGATAAATGTATTTAATTAATAAATAATTTTATATTTGAATTAATATTGATGGATTTTTTTCTATAAAATTAAATATAAATGTTTATTTATTTAATTAGTCATATGTAGATGTGAAATGGATTTGTCAAAAAAAATTATTAATTTAATATACATATATGAGAGAAATTGGTAACAAAAAATAATTTTTTTTAAATATATTTTCAATTAAAGTTAGTCAAATATTTTATAATATTAAAAGTCCTATACATAGATAGAAGTCTGAATCTAAAGTAAATGATGTAATTTTTTTTAATATTAATAAAGTTTAACATATTTGCAATTAAAATAAAATAGATAGATTTGAAAGAAAATGACGCAATTTTATTTATTTATTTATTTTTTCCTCATTGCTGCAAAATAACTAAAAGCCCATATCCTCCAAAACAATGTCTGATTGCTTCAGAACGAAAAGCCCAAGACCTGCTTTAATTAACCAGGCATGAAGAAGAAAGGAGCTAAAAAGTATACTAATGCAAATGAGGGGAACAAGTTATTATCATCCAAGCTTCAGTCTTTGGCAACTTGTCCCCTTTTAAATTTTAAATTTTTTTACTATTAATATCAAAAGTTTTAATTTGCCCCCCTTTTAAATTTATTTTTGTACCCTTACATTATTTTAAACGTCATTCCCTAGTCAACTTGTCCACAATTGTCAATTAACAATTCAACACTTAATCTATTTTATTATTAATTTTGTATATTAATTATTATCATTCTACAATTTTAATTGGCCCATATAAAAGACTTCGACTCTCTTTTATTGCCCAGGCTATGGCTGATATTTTTTGACCGAAAATAGAAAATCGAACCAAAAACCGAACCGAACCGATTTATGTGTAACGATAACGGAAAATCGGTTACCAAAATGTTATTGGTTCCGTATCAGTTCTGAAACAATTAGGGTTCGATTCTAAACCCATTATGTCATGTCTTTTGCCCCCTCTCAACTAATTTTCTGGTTACGCCCTGCTTACACATCACATCAACTTTAATTCATTATTCATCCACTCACATAATTTTAATTAACTATCATTTCCAATCATTTTTCTCATACTTTATATATTCAACTTTAGTTATTTTATTTAAATATTATTTTAATATATCCATTAACAACTAACCATACAACCTTTTCTCAAAATTAACTATAGTTAAAAAACAAACAAAATAAAAACTAATTGAATCCATAAACAATCACCCCCTTACTAGATTCTCTTCAAATTTATTTTGACTTTTTTTAATTCAAATTTCAAAAACAACTGCCCTTTTTCAATTTTTTTTAAAAATTACTAATAAAAGTAAAAACAATTTTTTTGACAGAATTTCTATTTTTATTTAAGGTAAAAATCAAATCTTTATATATATATATATATATATAGATTACTAACTTCAAGGTGGGCTTCTTGGAAACACAAAATAATAAATATGATTATATAAATTGTAGAAGTAAATATATACTTAATCTGTTTTCGAAATGAATTTATGTAACCCAACTGTTAAAATGATACCAAGAAAAAAAAAAGAATTATATTATCATGTAAAATATTATTTTGACTGATGGATTATTCAGATAATTAAGAAGAAATAGTAATTACATTATCGTAAATTAAAGTTTGGAATTAGAACAAGGAATATTTACTTTACGTTCTTTTTAACAGTAGCTTTTTCCAGCTGAAAAATCTCTTCTTTTTCTCCAAAAGCTCCTCAATCTGCTTCTCCATATTCATGCACTGGCTCTGCAGCCTCAGAACATCATCCTTTAACCTCCTGACCTCCATATTACGCGTGGCCACCTCACGTTTGGACAGGCACCTAACCGGGCCATCGAGCCCGATAACCGGGCTATGGGGCCCGGTCAAGGACCCGCTCCAGTCTATCACGTGCTTGCTGATTTTGTATTGCTCGGAAAGGAGGACTTGGATCACGGCCCGAACTGGGAGCCTCTCATTTTGAGCTGCGTGTAGTGATGCCTCTGTCGATAGCTTTCGAGCGTCGATTAAGTTGAATAGCCGTTTTCGGTCTTGTTTGGACAAAGATGGATGTGCCTGATCAAGTAATTACGGTTGTAATTAGACAAGATAAAAATCTGCTAACACCTTCAACTTCAAGTGTCACGAGTTAAATTATTAGCGTTCAATTTGAGTTTTAATTTGTGCTTGTTTTACTGTCACACAAACTTTTATGATCATTGGACTGAGGTTCAATGTTTTCGTGTTAATTGGGAGAAAAATGTCGTCGAAGACTTTTTTTTCTTTTTTTTTATTGTTTTTCTTCCATTGTGTGTGGCTTAACATATGAAAAATGTTACAAGTATATAATAAATATACATAGATGTGTACATAACACTCACATGAAGTGAAGTCGGTATTAATTTTTTATTTTTGGTCGGTTCCACTCAACATTTCTCAACTTTTATTATATATAGTATTGATCTTATTTTTAGAAAAAAATAAAAATAAAATAAAATAAAAATAAAAATAAAAATTATAGTTGATAGTTGTGTATGCAGGAGTAAGATTGTCCTGATCAATGAGCAGCAGAAAAAAGTGAATTCCAGGCAATCATGGATTTTTCTGGTCAGGATGAAAAGTATGTATCATAAATCAAGAATAGCCTAGAAAAAGTCCTATCTTATTGGCTCTTTTGAAGGCAAGAATCTTGAGCTGTTTTTTTTTTTTAGTGTCCAACAAAGGCCATGAGCCCGAACGGGCCCGAGCCCGGGCAAGCTCAAGTTCTTCGCAAGTAACATCGGGCCCGAGTGAGTCTGGTGCTTACGAAGCCCATCCCGTAACTATATGGGCCCATCGATCAAGGGCACGGTTCGTAAAAAGGCGTGTTCATAGTTTTGTAAAATTTTCCTTAATTGGACAAACTCCAAAGGACATCTACATTTAGCTACACTGGACAAACAAAGAGACTTACTTTGAGGTACGTGTCGATTGCCCGATAAAGCCCGTCATCCGAAGCCCGTGCATGATCGGGCAGCACGCTCGCGAGGTCGACAAAGCCCGACAAGCCCAAATTGGAGTCCAAAGCCGCCTCGGCTAGATAACCATCCACCAGCTTAGCCACCTTCACGAGTGCAGCTCCACATCGGGCCTCCTCAAGGCCCGCGAACCCCTTCACGACCCGAACGACCAGCCCAAAGTCGAGCAGCGTAGTCCCGGGCTCGTGGCCGAAGCACGGTATCAATAAGTCCTCCAGTTCGGCCCGGTCCAGCTGCCGGGAGACACGGGCCTCCAGCTCGGCCCGGTGGGCCGGGCCCACACCGACCATGCACGCGGCCCGCAAGGCCCGTAGGAGGAATCCGCACGGGACCGAGTTTTTGTCGGGAGGGAGGACCTCGACTAGGGACTCGATGAATAGCTTCTTCTTGGCCCACGAGGATGTGATGCTTTCTCGAGGGGAATTGGGCTTGGGCACGGGCTCGAGCGTGGGCCCAGATAGTTCTGGGAGGTGTTTGGGGGCGTAGTGTGTGATGATTGAGGCGATGAGATCGGGCCGGGCTCCTTTGGATTGGATTCTTGAGAGAGTCTTGATGAAGTAATCGGAGTCTGAGGTAGTGGAGTGGTTATTGGGCCCGAGCTCGGATTCGAATAACCGTGTAAGATTGCAGAATGGTTTGATGGATTCTTGCAGTGAAGAGTTTTGCATTTTTGGTGG